TTAACTTTTTCATATTCCTTTACATGTCACTACGTTTAAATAGGTTGCCTTGGGACATTTTTTTCGTGGTTTTTGTATTAGACCCGTCGTCCATTTATTTGTAAGTCAATGGTATATATCCTCAATTTGACTATACATTTTTTTCAAAGTGATTGACTCAACACTTTCACAGTTATGCGGTATCACCCAAAGCCATTTGACTCTTTATACTTTTTTTTTATAAAACAAATATACGCCATTTAGTTCCAAAAAAAAAAAACTATAATTTCCATTGTAGCAATCGTGAAAGCCCAAGAACGACAATATAAATACTATTTTGTACAGGACTACTGCTGTTCGGTCGGAGTCCGAAGAAGGCAAGACAAATGGAACATCAGATCAGGAACAGACAAGTGCAGAAGGAATACGTATGCAGAGTCGATGGGGCGTTCCCTGAGTGAGTATTACCCCTATTTTAGTTACTACCCTCAAAAGTCACTTGACGCCGACTTTTAGGCTTCAAAGATATACTTAATAAATACATAAATAATTACTGACACGTCTGTCTCCCTTTGGGGTATGTAGACATCATGATCATCAACTTGTTGTTCTTCTGACTAACATCTTTCGACTCCTCCAATCGTATCAATCTCTTTGCGCTCGCTAATCACCATCATTCATTCTCCCACTGGCTGTAGGTTTCCCGTAGTCATCCACCACGATCCTGCGCTAGTCTCACCCGTCTACTGCCCGTGACTTTGACAATTTTCGTCTGTCCATCTCATTGTAGGTCATCCTGGTCACCACTTTGTTTTGACGAGTCGAAGAAGTCGTGCATATACACTCAATGCTTAAATCGCAAAGGTCTAATGGACATTGCTACTACGCCTGTCACCCTGAGATATGAACTTGACACATCTCATGTGCCTTCAAAAACTGGAACGCAGTAATGCTCACATTGCTGCTTGGCGGCAGAAATAGATAAGGTGACAGTAGTACCCTGGACGAATTCTTTCACAAGGAGATCTACTATTATTGAAACTTTAGTCCACCTGTTATCACCATGCTTCACAATATGTCCAGCTCAATTCAATTTCAGCTTCGTTATTTATTTCCTAAATCCTGGACTTTAGTTGGTTTACGGGATTTAAAACTCGGTCTATATGGTTGATGCTGAGCATGACTCGCTCTATGGCTCTTTATGGTACTTACTCTGGGCTGGACTCATTGGTTGAAAATGCGAGTCTTCAAGCACTGTGGAATATCAGTCGATTTCAGATGTCATCTTTATATTTGATAGTTTTTTTAAAGACTTCCTTAATCTGATCTATGAAATCTGAAGTTTACCACCCCACGTTTCCATCCATATTCGCTCAATAAATTTCTGCTTTCAATCTACTAACATCTACCCTTTGTACATGACCAAATCAGATTTAAAGGACGCAAATTTCGAGCCCATAAGGTCATGTTCACACGTTTCATGATGAGCGTTGGCCTGTAGGTTGAAATGTAATTAATAAAGTTGTTAGCAGCTACAATAGATCCCTTTGAGTTGTTGAAGTTCATAGGCCTAGGGCCCTTTTCGAACTAATAATAACTCCGATCTTCCGCCTTGTTAAACGGTTTAAGTGGCAGTTTTCAGAGTCCCCCAAACTTCACGTCAATCGACCCATAACCATAGAGTGTGTAATCGCTCTGAATTATCACAAGAAACATTATATAATATCAATTTTCTGGTCTCAAATTAGGCAATTCCCTGTACTATGAGTAGCAGAGCAAAGGAATTCACTCTAGGGCACACCCAAAACGTAACACCCGAAGCAGAACCGATTTAGGAAGAGTTGGTTTTCCAGATTGGTCTTATCCGGAATAAAAAAAAACTAAATTAAAATTTAAACTATATACTAGTATATTACAATTTGTTTTTACGTAATCGCTATAAATCTAATTACGTTATGACGTAGTACTTCATCAGAGCAGACATCATCCCTAGTTCTGTGGTGATCTACAATAAGATAACGATTTATTGTTCTCTTGGCTTGCTTTTTACTTCCATTTGCGATCTTTTCCACAATATTTGTCGGTACTCCGTTCAATACCTCGGTTAGTATATGTGCCAAGATACTTTTCCCATACACATTGTTATATTTCGGTAATTGAGCCCGTCTTTGTGTACCACCTTCGTCTAGCAGCCTCAATGCAACACGTTTATCATTAAATGAATAACGAAGAAAGTTTAAAATCTGTATCCTTATGTCTTGTTTAGATTTCAATGGACAGTAAACAGATTTTATTATTATATCAACATTATTTCCAAACAATGAAAAGTAAGTATTTACATAAATCTGTATTCCAATAACAAATGTACATTGTAATAAAAAATGTTAAAATAATTATTAATACAAAGATCGAACACTTAGAAAGAAATTCCTTCGATCCAGATGGATTCAAACCGTGCCAGACGCCTTGCATTAGTTGGCCGGAAGGTGGCAGTCTTCCCTGGACGAACTCTTTCACAAGGAGGTCTACTGCTACTTAAACTTCGTATTCAATAACAGACTAAATCTATTTAATAATTTGTCCAACCAACCAGAAGAAATGCTCAATAATGGGAGATAAAACTTCTTCAATTCAATTAATGAACAACTTCAACAATACCTAAACAACAATGTTGTTATAACATTATTTTAAAGTTGTTAAATTTGTGGATTATGATTTCCAATAGAAATAATGACCCAGGGATGTTGAAACGTTTTAATTTTACTGCTTATAAGCAGTAACTTGACTTCTGTTAGTTTTCAACTTAACAAACTTCCAGAAGACCGTCGTTTATAAACTGTGGAACAGCAAATTGAATTGGGATTGTATAGATAACAATAATATTTCTACCTGTGCAAATTGAAGGAATAATATTTAATGTTGCTATTTGAAGTTTGCAAATTGATAATGTTTTGATTCCAATCTAAGTGTAACTTTGCCTTGATAGCTGTAGAATTCATAACTCAGTGGCTTATTCATGATATTATGCAAATACAGGCAAGTGTAGATCCAATTCAAGCTAAAGTTCTAAATATTATTATAAAGAACACTCTTGAAACATTGTATACAAAATACATTTTAATTTTTTTTTTTAAATTTAATTAAGACGAAATACTTTCATAGATTTGTCATATATGGCGCTACGGCTAAGAAGTCGTTGAAAAACTAAATGTAAAAATCCGACAACAAACACATAGAACAATTCATGAGGTACGCTGGTTCCTTCCCTGGCTTAGTTGGCATGTCTGTCACGATTTGCTAGGAGAGGTCGGTTCGAATCCGGCCGGATCGAAGGAGTTTTTTCTAAGTGTTCGTATTTGTTGTATTAATAATTATGACATAGAAATCAAACTTGAAGATTTTTACTATTGACTTTATAAACCACAACGAATGATCGTGGCCTTGGTATAATATAGCCACATGTGATCATGTATCAAAAATGCTTTTATCATAAAAATAACACGAACGACATAATACATTGTGTTAAGTATTTGGCATTTTATAATTTTATTCTCCTATTTAAGCATAAAAAGAACAATGGCGACTCCCATTAAATTGTTGACATAATTTCTACGCGTCTGTTTATGAATCAGTACAGAGTACTACAAAAATCGACCTCAAAAGTCAATTATCCCCTAGTTTGCCACCCTTATGGGTAGAATGTGTTCTTCAAATTTAAATGGGATTACTACTGAGGTACCCAACAAGAAAAAATCATCAAAATCCGTTAATAAATGCCGTAGTTATCGCATAACATACATAAAAAAAAACATGGAGTCGAATTGAGAACCTCATCCTTTTTTCAAGTCGGTTAAAATATAGTTTAAATTTCTGAACACATTTGGTTTTTGGTTTACTTATTCTGAGAAGTCTGGAATTAAAGATATTCCAGTTTGAAGTTTTGGAGCTTGTATTTTATATAATTGAATAAAATATATTTGGTGTATTATTATAGCAAAATAAAATACAGAAGCCTTTGACAGAATTAATAGAAGCTAAATGGTTCCGTGGGTTTGGGACGTGACGAAAGTTCAGAAAAAAAATCTGGAGAAGGATTTATCACCTTATTTTTTGTAATAAAGTAGTTAATCTCTTTTTGCAAATCGGTCGAATCAGTACATTTGATATTATGTGAATTTACTTACTGTGGACCTATCAATATGTAGGTATTGAAAAATCTCTTTCGGGCGGTTAGACTAACGACTTCGACTTAGATCAGAGGCTCAACGTTAAGAAACTAAGAAACCGACAGTTGTAGATATCGATTCGGTTACAAGCTAATTAGTCGTTTGAGTTTGATTTAAATATGAATTTCTTTAATTTAAACTTGTAATTGTGACGTTTGAAGACGCAAAATAATTCTTTTAACAATAATTTCGCCGTTGTTCTATTATCGATTAATTTCGTTAGTAGTATCTTTAAACTTCTCTCCTGAAAAGTTGGCCTTTTTTATATGTGAACTCATTCATCGGGTGTACAAATTGTATTGCCATTGATCGCTTAATAAATAAATTCGTCATATACCTTTAAAACTACCAAATTCTCACTCTCTCTCTTCTACATTTCAATGTTGACAGTAATAAAAAAGTTAAACCGGCCGGTTATACAAATTTACTGACTCCGTCTCTCTCTCTCTCTCTCAAGAGAGCCATTCTAAAAACCATTAGTGAGTAATAAACAACTTTCTTCTACCTGTTTTTAATTCCCAGGGAAGAAATTGAGTGCACCGAACCGATAGAAGTGGTCAGCTACAAAATCGGAGTCTGCAAAGTTTCCCCCAAGGGTAAAGACTGTTCAACGGTGTTCAAAAGCCTGGGGTATAACTCTACGAACAACACTAGTGTTGTCCTTTGCAAGCCGAAAACGGGGAGAATGCACCAAATTCGAGTGCATTTGCAGTATTTGGGTGAGTGTTTGGATAAGTTTGTCGTCATTTTAAAAGCTGTAACGAGCAAACATATTTACGAAAGTTCTCGCAATACTGCGCTTAATCAATTCAAAAGAATTGATCACCCAACAAAGAAACACACGCACTAGTAAAATATATATTCAACCTCTTTTCAAATCGCGTATATTTTTGTGCGGAGCCTAAAAAATCATTTAATGCATTTCATATAGATTCTTCGAAACAATGATATACAATTTAATTTTCCATCTCCAGGTTATCCTGTGGTAAACGATCCCCTCTACAATCACCCAGTCTTTGGACCTCTCCGTGGCAAAGGAGGTGATATGGGAGGCAAGACCGACGAACAATTGGTTCGGGATCTCATCGCGATACACAATGCTGAAAACTGGCTCGGCGTTGACGCTGCTGATGACGATATGTTGTTTTCTAAACCTGCGGCTGATGATAAAGGTAAGATTTGGAATAATTTTTTTTATACTGAAATAAGTGAGCATTTGACCTCCATTTCACGCGGTGGAAAGTGATGGTAGATTATATATATACCGATGTAAGGTAGACGATGTAGCATGCACATCTAAATAATACCTAAAAGGTCCAAGTTATAGCGTTCGTGGAATTCCACTCCTTAGCCGCTTGCCATATAAAAGAGGAAGCAAAACGCGTCGTGCGCATAGGTATCCACCATTGGGGTGCAACCCCAGTCTACATCTAATCCTCCGATGAAGATAAGTGGAAGGCGGAATTAATCATGGATATAAACAGACGTTTTCGTTATTAAAGTGACGCGTATTTAAGTACAACGTACTGCAATAAAGAATGAAATGGCAATGTGTATGTTATGTCACAATTGCCGATTCAGATTTAACTCTTAATTTCTAAATTCTTGTAACTGATTTGTTTTTCGAAGTATGTACTACATCCTCCTGATCATTTTGATAAAAAGGAATATCCTTCCACATAATGCAACATTTATATTTCTGGCATTAGTTGAAACCGAATTTCAAATTCGCTTTCAGAGTGTTCACGTGATTCATTAATCAATCCTGTTCATTAATTAATCTATATGAAATGATCATTTGTATATTGGAAATCTATAGATATCTACGAAAAGGGAACAATGCAATTTTTACTTACAAATCTGTGCTTTTGTTCTGTGTACGTACAATTCATATGAATTATACTTATTCAAAGTTTTTAACGATTTTATTTTATATACACAGTTGGTGAAGACGACTGCGACACTGGTCCAGCGTCAAGAGAATCGTCACCAAGACTGGAATCCCCTGCTCCAGGCGTGACTCCTTCAACTGTCATGACACGTAAGTAATTCATCGTTCTTCAACCTGGATCTTGTAGTTTTGGAAGATTTATAATCGTCTTCCCTAGTTGCAACAACATATTGATTTTTTTGCGTAGTCATGTTTTATGACGTTCGAAATAACCATATAAGATTTTTATAATTATTAATACGAAGATCGAACACGCAGAAAGAATTCCTTCAATCCGACTGAATTCGAACCGACATCTTCTAGCTTACCGTGACAGAAGACGCTAGAAGACGAAGACGCTAGAAGACGAAGACGCTAGAAGCTAGAAGACGTCGGTTCGAATGCGGCCGGATTGAAGGATTTTTTCTGAGTGTTCGATCTTTTCGAACTACTGCAGTAATTTCACAAAAAATAATTGAATATCAATTCAATAAAAACTTAAACATATAAGATTTTATTAATCAAAGCACTTTCACATCAAAGGTATTCGAAGTTAAATAGAAATAAATTCAACTGGAGCAAAAACAGAAAAGTTCCGTCGATGTCGAAAGTTAGTATGTAAATTACAAACAGTTGTGAGTTTATTCAGAAGTTTAACGAAACTCGTATGTTTTCTGATGGAGTTCCATTTACATTGTACAATTTTTGATAGACATTATGTATTAATATATTCCTATTCTTCTTACTTTTTAACATTACAGTTTAAAAATACACAACATATTTAACTAGGAGGTAATAAATATAATACAGCAGCCACTTAAAAACTTGTACTTTCGTTTACAACATTCAACTCTGTGTATTGATTTTCTTGAGAATTCATGAACATATCTTAAAAGTAAGCGTATATCAGAAAGTGCCCCTTGGCTTACATAAAGTAGCCTACTCTCTTTATTTGTAAAATTACGTTTTACAGTACTTATATGGTCTAAATAAAATATTTCGTTAACAGCGACTTTACCAAGTCCCTCAAGTGGAGCAGAAGCCCCAGAAGCATCATCGCCCGCTCCTTGCACCCTGGCACCCTCACCAGCTGTGTCTCCTTTGCTTAGCGAGGATTCTAATGATGCTAAGGTACGGTAGTATGTTATCTATTTTAATCTTGAATTTTTTATTTAAAGGAAGTAGAATTACTTCCTTTACATATCTAAAGTTTTATACATGAGTAAATATCCTATGATTTAATATAAACAGTGAAGCTATATACAGACCTAAACAATGAAGCGTTGTTACAAAATTTTTATAACTCCAATGTTTTCAAATTCTGCTGCAGTCAGACAAAGTGACAGTGGCAACGCAAACAGGCTGTGCGCCTACTGCAATAAGTACAGCGAACGCTTCATCGAGCAGTTCTACAGATGCAATTTCCTCCGACCCGCACTGCTATGAGTGCCGCGTGCGGTACCGGGACCCGCGGCCGCGCGATTTGATCATGTATTTGCACGCTTGGAAGTATAAGGTGAGTTGGAGTTACTCAAGGGTCTAGTTTATGTCCAAAACTTTCTACCTTTCATTTTCTTATTAGTTATTTTATGACAATATTAAGTAAAAGGAGTTTTTTTTTATTAAAACATGTTATGTTTTGATCTTCATTCAGAGTTGCTTTATGTAATTAGTTTTCGTTTCTTGTTACGTCATCATCGACTCATTAAATTTTATTTCCGGTAACACTAACCGTCATCTATTTCAGGGTCCTGGATGGGAATATGAAACCGAACTCCCTCAATGGGCGAGTGTGCACTGGGAAGAGCCCGAGAGCTCATAGTCATTAACACCATTGCGCCGGCGCCTCGCGACCATACACGTCACTTTTAAACACAAGTGATACATGACAATCATATTGACGTTGTTGTTTATTATAGACTTAATGATAGTAATGTTAATGATGGCATTGAAGTGATAAATGATGATTTTAAACTCAATATTGAAGCAAAACATTATGTATAACCTGTTAATGTTACACAGAGAATAATTGCTTCAGTATTGTATGATAATATTATTCGCGAGGCGTCAAAAGTTGAAATGGAAAATTTTTACTAGGCTGTTGACGATACAGTGCTCTGAGGTAAGTTTTATAAAATTTAAAATAAGTGACAATTAGCGTAAGGTTAGATTTTGTGCATTAATGCTGCTTATCTTATTTTAAGTTCTTAATTATTCAGCTGCCTTTAGAGCACTCGTGTTTGCGTGTTTGATTTCGACCCTTCAGTATTTTTTAGTAATTCTGTTTTCAGTTCCTATATTGGCCTAGTATTTGTCGGCTTGTTGTAGTCTAGTATAAGGGGTGTAACAATTTGTAATAATATCGGTACCATTAATATAGTTATATCGCTTTAACGAGGCAGGGTCAGATCCACAATCATAAATGAATATATGATAAATAAATCCTTTTTAAACACGTAATGGGATAGCTCTTCTACAGATACATATATCACAAAAATAAGAAAGAAACGAGTAAAAATTTCACCAACAATTAAGGGCAACATTGGTTCCTCAAGGTTTTCCTTATTTTTTCGATCATTTGATATCTTTTTTAATATGTTTACAATCACTTCTTAAGTTATGTTTTTGTATTTTTCGTGCACGTTAATAATAATTGGTGAAATTTTAGAAATTTCAATCAAGTTTTGGACCACTGCTATATTTTCTTATAGTCTTAAAATCGTAAACAGGACCACTGTTTAAAATCTGTTGTATAGAGAAGCTATCTCGATAATATTAAACGCATTATTGAATAAAAAAACTCATAAATAATATTGAATAATGATAAAATTTTGTCGCATTTTTGTAGACGGTGTTTTAGCTACCTACGTCGTCACGTTTTGGCTTCCATAGTTTTGGGTAGTGAGATATATAAAAAAAAATATTTAGTGAAATGAAATCTCGAAATTTTTGTACTTTTTACATAATGTAATTTTGGCATTTGTTAATTTCCTTTTTTATTTTTATTTTTTATAATATTCATTTATGTATCGTTCTATTCTACGACGTTGTGGTATGCATTTAAAAATTTATTTCCATCGAGACTTTCTCCTTTAAAAAGACAGCTACTGCAAGTAGGCACACTGATTTTATTTTCAGGCAAACATTACCAATGTATCACTTCAGTGGAAGTATTATACTTTTCTTTATAATCAATGGATGGTTAAAATCAGTTGGAAGCAGCAGTTTTAAAGACATGATCGTTTGTTACTCCTATTTTAAGTTTTGTGTGTTTGTTAGTTTTAGGTGCCTTCAGCTTGATTTTAGTATCATATACATTTGGATTGTTTTCAATTTAGTCTTTGTAATCTTAATTGACTACAAAGTATTTAAACGCTGGTTCGTTTATTCGTTTATTATTTTATTTACTAGTATATCGTAGTATTAAAATATATAAAAGACAATTTCCTTGACTCTAAAATGTTTCCACGAGCTTTTATAAATTAGTTCAATAAAAATTATATATTTTTCTTACTTCTAGCGTAGTGTAGTGGGCAAACTGTTTTTGTTGTCTATTTGGATTCATGAATTTGGAGTAAGTACAATCATCTTTGTGTTTAACCTACGCATAATTATGTTTTAGGCTGTTATAAATTTCTTCCCTGTAGCAGCTATTAGCCGGTTTCGACTCTTGTGATTTTCTTTACTTAATAAAAAAAATTATCTGCGATATAATAAGGTTTCCGTAAGATCGTAATCCAATTTTCTTTGTTCGGCTTCATTAATAGCGCTTTCAACAAGCTTTTGCTACCAATTTTGAAATCTATAACGAGATAGATGCTCAGAACAAATGGGGCCATGATTTTTTTTTTTAGAACGTTGTTATTCAACGCCGCGTACAAAACGAATGTACGGACACAAAACAATGAACCTTGGTAAAGTTTTGATTCCAGTCCTTGTAATAAACTGCATCGCAATGTTTTGACAGCACAAGAAATACTTCACTGTGTACAAAAAACATTTACCTACTTGATTGCGCAACTGCAATCAAAATAAAATAAATGTGATCTTAGCAATGTTTGTTCAAATAATTAAACTTCGGATGTGATTATTTTAAAGATCTCAAAAGAACATTATAGGCTACTTACTCCAACTATTCGCCAATCCTTTTGTTGTTGCTATCGCTTATACGATTGTACATAATATTACTAAACGTTATACGTCATAAAGGCAAGTAAATATTGTAGGATAGTCCCATTCTTTTCACTTGAATCCATTCGGTGTCTATGAGTATATTCTGTGTACATCTGTGTATAATCAAAAACCGCTAAAACTCAAATAACAAGAAAATTACTTTCGTGCGCAATTTAAATATAAAAAAGATACTGTTCCGGAACACAGTTTTTTGCTTTTTACGGTGTTCGATAATGTGCCTATACATCCGTAGTATCTATAGTTGAAGTAATTAGTGCAGGAAGCAATTCTACCCTCGTTATCCTAAGTAACTTAATCTACATTAAGCTAAATTGAGTTATTAACATGTCTGGAATCAGCAAATCAAAATCTACAACTTCCTATAAGCGGTATTTTTATATTTTATTTAGTTTCAGTTTTATTGTTAAGAGTCTATACTACCTCAAATGGCTTTGGTTGATTCCGCGGAACAGTGAAAGTGTTGAGTCAATGACTTTGGAAAAAATATATAGTAAAATTGAATAATATATGGTGTGGAAAAAAAACCCAAAGTTACCTCATAATTAATGTAATTATTACACGTGTTCAACATAAGTAGCGTTTGTTACATTTGGCACTAAAGAGCTTAACATTTTTGTAACAGTTGAATAAAAGACAAGAAAACAACTGTATTAAATATGTACTTTACATATACCAATATTTTTTTTTATAGCAAATGAATTAAATAAAACATGTATAGTATTCGATATACATTTTTCTATGTGTTTAGCAGTGAAACGTATAATTGGTTGATGGTGACGAAAATTTATCGTTTTATTTTTCACTTTCCAATTCTTTATCAAAATATGTGACCGCTCTATTTATTTCTAAAGTAAAGCAACAATTATTTTATTCAGATTGAAAGTATACGACATTTTTCAAATGGCAGAATTTCTGATATAAAGCCAGTGTCCCTGACGCTAGAACCACGCAATGGAACCGACGACGAAACGATTCCGTACGGGAGAAATTTAAATTCGAGCTGAGGTAGTATCAAACTCTTAAGCAAAATCAACGTAATTGACATTTTTCAGTGAAAAAAGAACTTTAGTTGCCATCATATTGAAATTTGCCAAAATGCAAATGCGACAGTTATGACAAGGAGGGCGGAATTGACTAATAGATTTCTCGACATTCATGTGGTCATTTAGATTTAACCCCCTTTGGCGTCGAGATGAGTGTAAATAGTTAAATGACTACCTATAAATGTTTATGATCCTTGATATATCGTTATCTAAAACTTTTTGAGCTGGCTGTAATCGTATTTATCCGTTTTGGGAACAAACTAATGTAAAAAAAAATGTAATATATCAATGGGTAGATTAAATATCAAACAAAACATTGTAATGAAAAAAGACGTGTCCTGGATACAAAAAGTAGTTTTTTTTTGTATTTGTTTGTGTGTTTTTGAATTGCTTGCGAAATGTTTGCAGTGAAAAATTTGTCATAATTTGGATTATGACAAAAATTTCAATTTCAATCTGGGACACACTAGATTTTAAACCTTAACTTCTGACGATAAACATTTTATTAGGTAACACAAAAACAGACTTTTTTTTATATGTGACGTAACAGTAGCATACATTATATAAGAGTTCATCTATGGCATATCACCTAGGTACCACTACAGAGCTAATATGACTTATCGATAGAACAAATCGATCGTAATATCGAATAATTATAATATGATAATCGATATGTCAAATTGGTAACTACCGACGAATATTGTTGTATTTTTATAGTATGTAAGCTGTTCATATTGTATTTATGTTATATATATAAGCCCCAAAAAAATTCTCAGTAAATGAGTTGATGGTAAGGCTGGGTTTATGCAGGGTGCTCGAAAATTTCACCTGTGTTCAAATTTACTTCAGGATTTTATTTTCATCCCTTATGAAACAAAAATAAACGAAAAAAGGTGTTATTTTTAAATAATTATTAACAATATTCAAAAAGAAATGGGAACCAGCCTTACAACCGTATATGACTGTAAGTAAAAAACATATGTAATTATATATTGTCTTTCTTTTTCTTCTATGCTTGCTTTTCTTAGATCAAGTATAAAATGTCAGCGTTCTTTTTTACGTTAATTTAGTAAGAAATTTTCATGTGCCTTTTCAAGATAATGATGGACAAAAATAAAAATAAATTGTAAAAGTATGTTTTTAATTACAGTTACATGTAATTGTTACACGTGTTTAACATAAGTAGTGTTACATTTGGCACTAAAGAGCTTAACATTTTTGTAAAATTTGAATAAAGGACACAAGATTTGAAAAATAGATGCACTAGTGTTAAAATAAAAAATAAAAAAGTGTATAAACACAAATAAACAGTATTGTAGATTGTTGTGTTCGTAGTTTTGTTTGTATTAGTTTGATGTGTTTATATGTGGTAAAGACAATAGAATTTGTGGAGATATCTTTGCGATTTATAACATAATAATAATAATTTGTATAATAATTTATAAAATATTACAAAACGCATCTAGTAAAAAATATGTGAAATTAAAATTGTCGCCTTGCTTTTAAAACCTCATGTGTAAACTTTTTAAAATCCATGTTTTCAGCTTAAAATATGCGGAATTTTTTTAATTAACTTCAAAACCTCACGTTTTCTGCACCAAATGGATTTTTGTTATTTATTTTATTGAATATCATGATAGTTCTACACTAATTTGGTATTATATTGATACACAGATTGATGGTTTAAGACTTTTTGCTGTAACGCCACCTATGAGACCCTTTGTAGTTAAGTCCAGTCGGGTCGATGAAATTTTTCTTTGTGTTTACAAAGAAAAAATCCTTCAATCCGAATGGACTCAACTACAAAGGTGTGAGACCCCTTCGTAGTTGAGTCCAATTGGGTTGATGGAGATTTTCTTTGTGTTTACAAAGAAAAATTCCTTCGATCCGACTGGACTCAACTGTTCGATCTTTGTATCTATAATAATAAGAAAAGTTAAATTAAAAAGTCGGCATTGAAGATTTTAATAGCAAGCGAGTCACTACACTTATTTACTTGAAATCGGCTTAAGTCGGTCAGAAAAACCTTTATGTCTACGTAATAAGAGCGAAAAGGACGTTGCGCGTTTCGCTTCCACTTTTACTGCCTAGCTTTGCGATGTCGTGTCGAGAAGTGTGGTTCCAATTCAGCAAAAATCTAGGCCTACAATATTTGTGTCCTTTATACATTGTAAAATTTAGCTCATATTTGGCACAAGTTTGCGAATAATTGTTGTTTATATTTTGCATAGTTATTAAACATTATTTCTTTCTTTGTCATAATAGTTTTGTTTTTTATTACTAATAATAATAGGCGTGGTCTCTGTGAATAATGATCGTGCCATATAAATGGCTTGCGTTGTTTAATTTAGTGATATATAATTTCTTATATATGTATACAATATTGTATATTTATGTAATAATTTGATTTAAATGAAAGACATTTGTTTTTTTAAATAAGTTTTTCGTGTTTAAGAATATAATAGCGTTTCCTTCTTTAG